TCATGTGTTCCAGACTGAGGAGTCTGTTCACTGGGGGTAAAGAGAGTTTAATCCCAGTCAGAATTATCTACATAAACCTCTTCTTCATGTACCAATGTAAATCCGGTTGACTAAAAACTTGTATCTTACCCAGTCCCACACTTATGATTGTAGTTCCAATCATATATCAAGTTTACCGTGTACGTGATGGAAAGAGCTTTGCTACACGGAGGGTGGACGCAATTCAGAAAGGGAATATCGTATTCACATTGGTAGCTTCATTTCAGGTGATTATCAGCCTTTCATCAAGTTGGTCACATCTTAGCAATACCTTTTTTTATGGCTCACTTTTGTAATTCAGGGTAAATATGTTTCCTAGATTTATATGATTTTCTTTAGCAAGTTGATTAGATTCATGTGAAGGCATGAACTTGCATGCTATGTAATGAGTATTTGTGGTAGAATTACAAATTGTGAAAAAAAAAGCATTCAGGAGGAAGAATCAGAATAGAAAGCATAGTTTTGAAAGAATTCAACATAACTTGGATTTATTTTAAACTATTGTTCACCTTCTTCATTTGTGAATATCATGTTGACATGACATATTGATATTAATTTTTAACCTTCAAATCTCACAAAATTATGAAGAAAGTTGAAAGTTAGCAAGCTTCACTAGTGAAGACAATTGGATCGGCTCATCAACTTTCAGTCATTTCTGAAATGGTTTGTTCTGCTCGTTTTGATCCTACCATGGAATACCCTATTCTGATCTTTTCCTGGTTCAACTACTGCCCCCACAAAAACCCTAGACTTACAATGATGATTGGGACTTTGATGGACACTTGTTTTTGCCTGGAATACTGTAGTAACTTTTTGGTCCATGCAACTTTACATGACACACTTTTATGTGTTCATTACACCATTATATTTATACTGATTGTTATGTTTGTAATATTTTTCTTAAAACTGCATTTATTATTGGTACATAATGTGACAGAAAGATGAAGATGGATTTGATCACCAGGAAGAAAAAATGCCTAATGTGCCTGATCCAGAAACGGTAACCTTCTTACAATTCCATGAGCTCTGCTATATCTGCAACTGTGCTCCGAGCCTCTTCTCCTTATGCTTTCGTTGAAATCCAATTACAGCTTTTATCACTGGAAGATTTGAGAGAAATGCGCAAGACTGATCCTCGGCTTCCCAGGTCAGACTCTTCCCACTGTTATGCCATCATGCTATGATGTTTTAAATCTGTTATAATTTGGTGCACACGTATACTATCTGATAATGTATTGTAAATAGTGTGGTGCATAAGCTTTAAAGTATTTGCCTCGAGGAAACCATTTACATTACTGAACTTGTGCCTTCGGAAGTGTAACTTCTCCAGCATGAGCTGTCTTATATCTCTTGAATACTTTGGCTTCAAAATGGATGCAGTAGTACACGTTTTTGCCTAGTCCCGAGTCTCATTAAATAATTCTCTCTGCAAGCCTGACTTTTCAGGCATATCATATGTCCTGAGATCTGAAAATTAGAAGATGCATAAAGCTTTTTTATTCAGTTTGTGGTTACTTATTTTTGGGATCCTTGGTTTGGTGATACTAACAGTGAATTTTGACAGGACATACCGAAATAAGGTTGCTACTGCAAATTTTGTACCCTGGCCAATAGAAATAAGGTTTTGTGAACCTAATAATGCCACTAGTCACACCAAGTCTCCTCCAAGGTTAGTCATGCTTTCAGCTATCTGTTTCCCTTTTGCGGTAGCAACTTTAATTAACCAAACTTAAAGTGCATGTAAGCTTGTATATAGTAGTATCCTCATCATGTTTGCGTCATCTCTTTCCTACACAGTTTGAGATATTGGTTTAGAGCAAAAGGAAAACTTTCAGATGACCAGGCTTTACATAGGTAAGCTATCAGTTCTTTCATTTAATTAGCTGAGCTCATAATTAAAAGGAGCAACGCAGGCAGTTTAGCATCCCCATCTTATCTCAGCGAGAGACTCTCATGAGTAGATTTGTTATTGAGTTAGAGAAAGAGTTCTAATGGACACTTGGGGACTTGGGGTACGAAATGAACACAAGTTTGTTATCTGCACTTCTCTGGGTATACTCCCACTTGGCAGGGGTGGCTCAATGCCTTTAAAGATGAGGCATATGCCTTAGGCCCCCAAATCGAAGGGCCTAATTTTTTAGTAATAATAAAATTATCTTAAGCTTTTTTTAACAAAAAAAAAATAAAGAATGTTTTAATTTGTTTCGAAACATTAAAAAATGTTTTTTTTTTATGGATCAATTTTTAAATTTAACTTCCACATGATATGTTTAAGACCACAAGATTAAAAAATATTTTGGTATATATATATCTTTAGTCTAAGATCGTAAAAAAATAAAACTTTTTATATTAAAAAGAAAGAAATAACTTGAATCTCAGATGAAGAAAATAATTAAAATTTAGGTCTCCAACTTATTTTTGGCTTTAGGCCACTAATTAGCTTGAGCCGCCACTGCCACTGCCACTTGGGACCATGTATAACTAATATTGGTGCCTCAAAATTGTATATTTTTTTCTTCAAAATCATGTTTCTTACTTGTAGGTGCATATTTACCATCAAAAGGGAACATAAAAGAAATTAAAATCAGGAACTTGTAATATCTTAGCATACAAAAGTTTTTATATTTATGCAGAATGAGGCCATATTGCAGTGTGCATCTTTTAATGCAATATTTATGCTGGTTGCAGATGTGTTGCAGCATATGCATCAGATCTAATCTTTAATACTGTGAGTCTGAATCCTCATCGAAGGAAGGGTTTCAAGATAGCTAAAGTTAGTCTGGATCATTCGTGAGTTCGAACAACTCTTAGATCATTTTTTTTTTCCTTTAATGTATCAACTTTATATTATGGGGAATATGTCAATGTTTGCCGGAGCAGTGTATATAATTTCTTCGTGAAATGCTTCCCAACTCTTTCCATGTTATCACCAAATCGTTTATGTCCTTTATCTTTAGTTAAAGACAGACATTTGACATGCAACTGTACTTATATCTCCGCTTCTATTTACCTTTTCCAGGATTTGGTTTCACAGACCTTTGAGAGCTGATGATTGGATATTGTTTGTGGTAAGAAGGAAAAGTTAAAAAAACTTATGATGTTTTTTAAGAATTGTCTCCCTTTTATTAGTGGTTTTCATTACTAGTAATCTTCCTTCTAACTATCATTTTATAGATGCATAGTCCGACTGCTTATAATGCACGTGGCTTTGTGACTGGCCAAATGTTTAATAGGAAGGGAGAGGTAAAGTACTAGACCTGAGAAGTGTTGATGTCTGAGCTACCAAAGTCTTTTATATGTTCTTGCTTTGTTAATATGCTTATTGTTAATGCTTTCTGATCTCTAGCTTGTAGTGTCATTGACTCAAGAGGCTTTATTGAGGCCAGCCAGAAAACAACCTGTATTCCAACCAAAGCTCTAATCCATGTCAGGTCTAATGAAAAAAGAGGACTATGTAAAATTGCAGAAGAGCTCAAATAAGTTCTATAGAGGTCGCGAAATAGAATAAAGATAGTTGTTTTAATTGTGGAAGAGTATGATGTATCTATATTTTATAACTATTATACAAAACTATCCCGCTATTGTCTCTGTAACTCTCATCTCACCTTTATATATAACCCGCCAGAAGAGGCATTGCCATTGTTACATTGATCAATCTTATGATTGTTGCAAGTTAAAATGGTTGTTTTTTTTTACAAGTTTCATCTTCTGCATTCACTATATTAGAATAAAAATGCTGCAAAATAATGCTTTGATTTCGAAATGCCATGGGTTTAAATTTCTTTAGTTCACTATCCTGCCAAAGTAAAGCGGTCATGTTTTATTGACTCATCAAATTATCTTGAAATAATAATTTACAATCCATGGGTTGCAGTTATATTTCTTTACTTCCTTCATAATCCAAGCAAAACTATTTTCAAAAGAAGTTTTTCGAAACTAATCCAAACGCACAAAGATCTCTTCCAAAATTATTTTGCAAAAATCAGAACCAAAGTGTTATTTGTAAGAATGGCTCTATTTTGGGATGATTTTTAATTTTAGAGAAAATTACACAAATTAGACTCATTAGGTAAAGTATTTACCTAAATTGGACCCAACCTAATATATTTATCCTGATTGGACTTACAATCCAAACTAATTATCCGATTACCCTCCTTGTTCTATTCACTGAACCACTGATGATACAATTTACTTCGATGGTATTTATATACTCTGATGGTATCTATATACCTTGATAGTATCAAACAATAATGAATAGTCTTCTCATTGAAACACTGACTCTTCCTCCTTGATGTCATTAGAGTATCGTATCATGGAGTAATTGATTATGGTTTTCACTGAAGCACTGCTTCTTCCTCTTTGATACCATCAGAGTGTGTATATATATATATTGATGGTATCAAGCACTAAACGAATTAGTAATTAAAAATAGAGGGGTATGAAAGTAAGTAGGTAACCGCTTGTAAATAGTTTCCCTTTTTGGGTACAAATGCTCTTTTGCCTTAATTTTATCCATCAAATTGGTGATCTTAAATTTTTAACCTTTAATATTTTAAATAATAAAAAAAGTGGTCAAAAATATCACCGACCACGAGAAAAGAAAATTGTATGACAAAAAATTACTTTTTATAAGTTATGCACTTTATTCTTACGAAACTTAATTATATTGTTAGAGACATCATAACCCACCAATTGTGCCTTACAAGCTATAACTTAGTGAATTTGTGTCGATAGAAACATAAGTTCAGTTTTAAAATGTTATACCTTAAAGAACTTCATAACCTATAAGTTATGTCTTAAGTTAGTTTCTACCGAACTACATCAGACATAAATTTATGTATCGCAAAAGGATCTTAAGTATTCCGCCAATAAAGGCCCTCTAAATTGATTCAGCCCAAATGCCCAATCAACACACAACTCCTACAATTTATAGTTTCAACCACAGAAGAATTACAAATTACGTATCTTCCCCCTTAAGAAATTGTAAATTGTTCCTTTCGACTTCTCATACTTTCATCCTTCTTGTTTCGTCTGAGATCGTCAAATGCAGTCCTGCAAAGCCGCTCCCAGTAACTCACAGGTCAGTTCTTGCTATTTTTTTTTAAAAAAAAATTGAATTGATTAAGAGGTGAATTGTGGAAGGAAAAAAAAATGTAAATGAAATTTTGTATCTGATCTATTGGTTTGTATTCAATTTCTCACAAAAAAGGGTCGTAGAATTTGTATCCTTTTTTTATTGAATTGGGTTTTGTTTTGTACAGTTCTGGATCTCTGAATTTGAGGGATCTGAACTTTGAATTTTCGTTTGTTTTAGTGCTGATGATAAAGTTATACTGAACATTGTGATCTTTGTTTTCTGAATTTTAGCTAAATTGGTACCAGAGATTTTACCACATCTTGATTTCCTGTACCTTAATTCCTCCGGAAAAAAAATGGGTTGTCAATGTAAAGATAAGTGTGAGATTATTATAAAACTTGTAGTTTTAGAGAATGGTTAGTGTATGAATTATTGAGTATTGGAGTGAAATGCGCCTAAAAAGCTGATCAATATTAAGGGATTCAATATAGTGAATATTTTTCGAGCTCTTGATCACCAAATGAAAAAGAATACTGTATATTTCTTTAGTGTTAAATCTTCTTTAGTGTTAAATCTTAACATTCTCCCTAATGTACTTTTGGATCTAATAAGATTGATTGGTTTTGGCTCGTGTACAAGATAGAGCAGCTTTACTGATATTGATTAGCTTGTGGATCTCTGCTTTGTAGGGTACAGGAACAAACACGGAACAGGTGTATTCTGAATCGGAGAATTTTGTTGAGATCGTATATAGTTTGGATAATGACCAGTCTGTGGATGTTGAGGACAGTGGTTCGGGGGATAATAGTGAGTTGGATCCAGAGGCATCACGATTAATTCCTGGGCTTCCTGATGACATTGCACTTTTCTGCTTGGCAAGGGTTCCTCGAAGGCATCATGTGCTTCTGAAATGTGTGTCAAGAAAATGGAGAGACTTGGTTAGTGGTGAAGAGTGGTACTCCTATAGAAAAAAACATGATCTCCAGGAGAGTTGGATTTATGCCTTAGGTAGAGACAAGTCTGAACAGCTGTGTTGTTATGTTTTGGACCCAACTCGATTAAAAAGGGGATGGAAGCCCATTCTAGGACTTCCACATCGCTGCATAAGGAGAAAAGGTGTAGGCTTTGAAGTGTTAGGGAAGAAACTATTCCTATTCGGTGGATGTGGCTGGATTGAAGATGCTACTAACGAAGTCTATTGCTATGATGCTGCCATGAATAAGTGGAATCAAGCTACTTCCTTGGTGGTTCCAAGGTATTTTTCCAACTTGCTTTTATGGAAGCATTTTGAGTTTTTGACTCAACCTATAACTAATATTCACTTGCCATTTTTTTTTCTGTGTACTCAATCTCCAAATGCTTGTATGGTTTTTTTTTTTGGATAAGATAAGTGGTATTAATAACAGCATCAAGAAGATGCATAATTTACAAGATATGGCATTTGAGCTTACAAAAAAATCTCTAGCTAACTATACAAACTATCTAAGCCAGAGCTAATGAGTTAGTAAAATCCTGAAGTTGTTCTGCATAACCTCTATCTTCCACATTTTTGCATTTCCTTTTAGGAACATTAATCTTTACAGAGATCAGTTTTGTTATGGAACTTATAGGTTAGGCTTCAGAAGACCTTTAGAGCAGGCATGAGTTGATTGCTTAGTTGCATGAGAAACCATTTGGCTCTTTTGCTTATTGGGATTTTATTCGCTGTGATTATTGTGTTTCCTCCTAGGCTGGTGTCTTTCCCATTTGGTGAATGTATGTTGTTGTATAAGTTTTTCTCGGTTACTACCATGCAGTTCCACCCTTCACTTACTGATGAGAATAAGAGTCTACCAGTTACATATTATTATAGTCATTCAAGTTAGCCTTCTTAAACTTCATTGTTTAATTGGGCAATACACCATAGCTTATCTGAATCGTCTTTTTTCCCAGGTGCTACTGTGTATCTGAAGTGTTAGATGAAAAAATCTATGCAATTGGGGGAATAGGGCCAAATTCCAATAATTTACCTTCCTGGGAAACTTACAACACGGAAACAACAAGTTGGACTTTGCATGAAAACCCTAACATTTTCCCTGATATTGAAGATTCTGTAGTCTTGGGTGGGAAGATTTACATTCGCGGGGGTTCTTCGCCTCTATCTTCTTTAGTGTCTGCATTTGTCTATGAACCATCAAGCAACACATGGCAGCTGGCAGCTTCTGAATTAGTATCAGGTTGGTATGGTCCAGCAGTTGTCGTAGATGGGACGCTTTATGTGTTAGATCAGTCTTCAGGTACCAGGTTGATGATGTGGCAAAAGGATATTAGGGAATGGGTGGCAGTTGGGAGATTGTCACCCCTATTGACAAAGCCTCCCTGTCGGCTTGTAGCGGTGGGGAATAATATCTTTATTATTGGAAAGGGCCTTAGCACCGTTGTTTTTAATGTTGAAAACGCAAGGAACATGGATGGTGTGTTAGTGAGCACTTCCATTCCAAAGTCAATATCTGATGATGATGTAATAAGTTGTAAAGCAATCACAATCTAAGTTTAGGAATATCAAGTGTAACAGCTTGCTGTGACTTGTTAATGTCCTTTACTACCATCTGTGACACATCTGTTTCGTGTATGATTCAAAGGGCTCCTGTTCAGCTGGCGTTAGGTTGGGACTCTCTCTTAAGTTATACAAGCAAAATCTGTTAGTATATCTGTACTCTATGAATTTCATACCTTGTACACATACTGTTGGATTTCCATTGAGAGGATTCAGATTTGGTGGGTAATTACATCTCCATTTGTATCTTACTTGTTTCTCTAAAATGCTTTAGCTATTGACTGAAATAATCTAGCTGATGACATGTTAACTTTGTAGCATTTAGCAGGGCTACAGATTGTGATGAGCTTCATGAATATCATATCAATCAATCAAATATACTGCGATCTATTTTATTATGACTACGCTTCATGAAACTTACATAGGCAAGTCTACCTTACAATAAGTGTGAACTTTGCCATGGTCTGCCTACATCTATAATGCCACACTAACAACTCTCAATAAATCCGTTTTCTTTTAAAGGCAGGATGGATGAGTCCATTGCACGATGGTAATTTATCAATCATTTTCATACATTCCTTCATCCTAGTCAATACAACAGGTATGGCAGAGGCATTCTCCGAAATCTTCTGTTTAAGGAGCTGTACTTTCTGCTCATCTCCAGCTAAAATGGCAATATTACCAGATTCAATTGGTCCTTCAACATCTGTAAAGAGATCAAGATAACAATTACAAACAAAACAAAAAGTTCCTGAATACAGTAATCTAGTAAACTAGTAACATATGGTAGACTATCTTTGGACTGTCGCGATAAAACATTGTACACTGTGGTTTGATGCTCCTACTATTGTCAAATATTAAACACTAATGAGAAGATTTGATTAGAGTGCATTTAGCACTCATGGCACATCACTGAGCTCGAACTCTGCAACAAATAAAAACCTGATATTTAAGTGGAGAAGAGTAGAGGGGCTGAGCAGCCTGTATAGATCATTTTTTCATTGTGTCTCATTTTTTGCTAAGTCTTCGTGGATTCCAAGAAATTGTAGGTGTTCGGAGACATAACTTTCGGTCTACCTTCTTCTAACACCTTCACTTATCATAGTTCTTCGCACTAATATTACATTTCACCAAATTTATATCCATTCAAACACCACACAATGACTTGAAATCAGAAAATGGCGTTCTTAGGTTTTGTCAAAACATTAAATCAATCAAATTGGGCCTCTATTCACCGCTTTTTCTACACAAACACAGTTTCAGAAACAGTTGAATGGCCTTTTCGAACATTCCAGAGCAAATATATGGAATTAAGACATTATGCATCTGATAAATTTAGAATAACATAATTGAGAAAACCCACGAAACGTACCGGAGCTTGGATCGCTGGAGTACCCAGATTGAGATTCGGACCCATCGTCAAAATGGGTGCCCAAAACGGGTCTCTGAGCGGTAAGAATGGAAGAGACAGTAGTTTTGAGCTGAACCGAAATTGCTCCCCGGTACTCTGCTATTCTCTCAGCCATTTGGTTCACTTCTTCCTCTATTTCTTCCAGCTCCGATACATCATCGTTTTGCTCTAGAATTTGCTGCTGAGGTTGACTCAACATTTCGTCTAGACTCGTTTGCATAACCCACTCTGTTAGTGTTCGTGTGTTTCCCGGCGGTGGTGATGGTGGTTCCGGCGAAGGACTGGAGGAGCGGAAAATTGAGGAAGTTTGAAAATTTGAAATGAAGTTAAGGACACCTTTTAAATATTTTTTAAATATTCTTAAACTAATATTAAAATCATTCAATCTTTTTTAAATATGTCATGTCATTTCTATAAGGAATAGTTGATAATTTATTAGAAACAGCTATACTAAATATATTGTTGTATGTCTCTATAAACGAATATCATAAAGTTTATAATCAACGAGATGCTTAACCACCCATTGAATTGAAAAATCCATTTTAATTACAATAACTCTCTTGCTCTTATTTTATTTATTTGAAAGCGACACCATCACCTTTATACAAAATTTCAAGTTGTCACAATTCAAACTTCAATAAATTTTCTGAAGATTTAAATTGAGTTTAAACTAATTGAACTTCAATTATTATTTTTAAGTTCACAAAAGTGCAATTCAAACTTAAAAAAAAGTCATGAAGTTTGAATCAATGAATTTTAAAATGTAGTAAAATTTCTTGAACATATGAAACCCAAACAATTTGTTTCATCTGAATAAAGGGTAAAAAATATCCTTAAACTATACGAAATGAACAAAAATGTCCTCCGTTTATAGTTTGGCTCAAAAATGGTTTTATCGTCAATACTTTGGTTCAAAAATACCCTTGCAGTCAATACTTTGGTCCAGAAATGCCCATATAGTTACAAAATGGGTCAAAATGCCCTTTTCCGAATAAATATATTATTTTTTCTTTTTAAACACATCTTCTTCCTAATTAAAATATTATTAAAGAACACTGTTCTTGTTTTCTTTCTTCTAAAATAACTTTAACAAATAAAAATGTAGGAAATATTTTTTTCTTCTTAATCTCATTTTATCAATTAAAATAGAATAACTTCATATACCCTTTCGACATATAAATATATGTCATATATATAAGATCACAATATATCCATCATTAATTTATATTTATATAATGATAATAAAATAAGAAATATTTTCATTTTTGATTTTTTTTCTGTAATTGAAGTAAGATAAACATTTGCTAATTTTTTTACATAACATTAATTTAAAAAGAATGTGTCAAAAAGAAAACAATAATATATTTATTTGGAAAATGAGCATTTTTGACCCATTAAATAACAATAAAGGCATTTTGGACCAAACTACAAACGGAGGTCATTTTTGTTCCATTTGCATTGTTTAAGGGCATTTTTGAGCCAAAATATTGACGGTAAGAGCATTTTAAGCGGGAAAAAGGACAAATATACCCCCGAACTATTGTAAATGGTATACGGATACCCTCCGTCATACTTTTGGGACATTGGTGTCCTTACCGTCCAAAAATTAGAGCATATATACCCTTTATACTAACAGACATCCACATGTCATAAACATAGGACATTTTTGTTCATTTCACATAGTTTAAAGACATTTTTGACCCTTTTCCCTTGAATAAATTCCACAAATGACGATGATCTTCCTGCATGAGCATATATTGAATAAATAAAAACAACAATTGAACATATCATCTCATCTATTAATATAGTAATAAATATCAATGTCTCACTTTATTAATTACAATGTCTCACCCTTCTAAGCATACAAGTCGCAAATTTGATATTTAAATTGGAAAGCAAAACATAAAAATATAAATGACTTGGCAAAATTTTGATCTTGCAGCAAATTATTCATTTGATCCCCCAACGGAGTGAACAACATCTGCAGTTTATATAAATTCAAATTTGTGCATTGACAAGCAAGTCTGGGTGGTGTAGTCGGTTATCACGCTAGTCTCACACACTAGAGGTCCCCGGTTCGAACCCGGGCTCAGACATCATTTTGTTGCATATTTTATTTTTATTTTTTATTGCCTCTTCTTTTAATTACTAGACACAGGTGCCCATGTATTTTAGTATTTTTTTTAAAAAAAATTATGTGATATAAGTAAAATTTAGAAATGTGACTAAATTTTAATATGATTTTTAGATATTTAAGTTGTTAATTACTTTTGTTTGCGCAAATTTAATGTGAAGAGGTCCATTAAGATGTCCATACTGAAAGCATTTTTCGTTATCGATCATTGATCTTTTTTTAGGAAAAACTACAGAGTATGGCAAACACCAATATATATTTAAAACAAATAGCTTTAGTTTTTTTTTTTTTTTTAATGTTTTATGGATATAACTATACAATAAATAGCAAAGTTAATTGTATACAAATAATCAGGAAAGTTATTAAATATTAAATAGGAAAATTATTATCACAAGGATAATTAACTATGTCTAGGCACATTTTATGTGATCAATTTTTCATTTTTATCCTCATTAATACATTCTCTTTCATCAATATTCATATATCACATATTCTCAATATTTTCCTCCCATATTCCTTCCAATTTAAGATTTTTCTGATGATTCTAGGAACAATTTTTGTGATTTGAATTCATCAAGTATCTTTTAATTGACTTTTTCTCTCTTTTTTATGAAGATTATATTTGTATTCATCTATATTTTCATCTATTTTTATAGGGGTTCGATTGAAGAATTGTTTTGTTTTCTCCATTACAATGGTTATAGTGATACAAAAAAAAGTAGTAAAGGAGGAACATGAGCAAAAAGAGATTGAGGTTAGTGTGATTGTCAAAATTATATATAGTAGAATACATAATACATAGATACTTGTATTGTAATATTAACACAAGTTGAAATGGTGATTTGTGCATACAAATATATCTGGAAACATAAGTAATCTATCCAATTTAAAAGATTGATTAGGCAATACAAGTATAATTAAATACATTAATACTATATTTTTATAAACAAATACATGAGTTAACACCAAACCTCAAGTATTACAAAAAAAACTTGACCAAAAAGAGATTGACGTTTGTTGGATTTGCCAATTTTTTTTATACAAGCGAATACTTACACACTTTGATACCTACACATTCTATTATTTTCCATTTTTCTTGTTTCTATGTTTCCCAATGTATCCATCTTTTGTTTAACAACAATGTATTTATATATATATATATATATATTATATTCATCTATTTGAATAACAACAATGTATTCATTTTTCAAATTGTCGTGTTCATATGTTAATTGTCATACTTTGCCTTGTTTGATATATTAATACATTAAGTTTTTATAAATACTTGTATCCTTAATATATTAATACTTTAAGTCTTATAAATAGAGATACCAGTTTGAATTCAAAGTATTCATATGTTATACAATTAATACATGTTCCTTATTTAGTTCATTGTAATTAAAACTGTATTAGTGTATAAATAGAAAAATAAAAACATATAAAGAAATACAACTAGAAAAAGATATAAATTGTAGTCATTTTTTATAAATAACATATTTATAACTATTGAACTTCAATAACCCTATAAATATAGTCATTTTTTGTAAGTTGCTCTTTTTTTTTACTCAAAGTAGTTACAAGATATAAATAAATTTTACCAAAATTTAAAATAATAAAGCAATAACTATAGAATATGAATTTAAAACTAAAAGTCATAGCTAAAACATATTCCATAATTTCGAAAAAAGTATACACTAATTAAATTAAAGTAGAACAAAAGAAATAATTTTTTTAATTTTTTTCCCGAAACACGACAAGTCTTGAATTTAAAACTAAAAGTCATAGCTAAAACGGATTCCATAATTTCGAAAAAATTATACATTAATTAAATTAAAGTAGAACAAAAGAAATAATTTTTTAATTATTTTGGAAAAAATTATACACTAATTAAATTAAAGTAGAACAAAAGAAATTATTTTTTTCCCCGAAACACGATGAAGCAGGCACGTCGACGAAGATGTGCCTGCTTCATCAGAACTCTCTCTTATATTCTTTTAATTATTTATCTTTTTTACTGCCTTCTTCATGCCTCTTTTATTTTATATATATTTTTAGGCATAATACATAAACATATCTTTTAATTTGAATCCTCTTTAACTTGACTTTATGGACGGTTATGTCCTTTAGAGCATGTACAAGTAAATATTTAAATTTGTATAAACTCGAACAAGTATATACACATATGTCCTACATATCAAAATGTGCATATGTCCTACGTATCATAATACACATAGAATGTCATGTACGATACATGAATTATCATATAGATGCCAAGTAAGACATATGTGTCTACTTTATTTAATTTTATACAAATTCAAGTGTATAAATATAGATGAAACCAAGTTAAATAACATATTTGTATTATGCTTATATTTTATTCCTATTTATGCCTTTATTTATTTTATTGCATAGTTTAATCCAGAAAATGTAGCTAAAATTTTCGGATTTATGATACTTGATTTCTCTTTCTTGCCTGAATCTGTGTGGCTTCTTCACTCCTCCAGTCGCCGGAGCAGATTTTGCAGCCAATTGCTGCCAGTGGACTTACGGTCAGTTTTCTTTGTACGAGCCATTGAGAATCTAAGATTCAAAAGGGATATTTGTGATTTGTTTATACTTTGAGTATAAGTGCCCCTCCTCCTATCCTATCAACTGAGAAGCATCACTGTCGAATTGGGTGATTTTTTGGTGAAAATGTACTGCTGCCCACTCTCACCTTCAAAACAGAGTCCTTATTCATCTGCTCATTTTCTTTCTCCTTCAGCGACATATTTTGGGTTTTGTAATGCAAGCAAAAGGGTGTCCATTTCTCTAATTAATTTGGGAAATGAATCAAAGGAATCGGTTTCTACTTCGAGACTAAATTATGGGTTCCTTCGTGCAACCAAAAGGGTGTCTGTTTCACTGACTAGTTTGGGAAATGGGGATCGTTTGGTCAATGTTAGGTGTGGAGAGTCGGCTGTGGAGCATGATGATGGGTTTTATATAAGAAGGTGTGTGGAGATTGCTAGGAAAGCAGTTGGGCATACCAGTCCTAATCCTATGGTTGGGTGTGTAATTGTTAAGGATGGGAAGATTGTAGGTGAAGGTTTTCACCCAAAAGCTGGCCAGCCACATGCTGAGGTGAGTTGACCATGAAGTTCATTTGGCTATTGTTTGATTTCATTCTTGAATTGATATTGCGCGCTTTTGACATCCTATAACTGAGACAACTATAATGATGTTTGGCTAGTAGTTTTTAAGTTAAAATTCTTGGTTTGGAAGCACAATTCAAATGATTCAACTACTCTTAGATTGCAAGTTAAGCTCAATATTTTGGCCTTTCTCCATTTCATAGTAAATTTTCTAACAAGGAAAGAACAGAAAAGATTAGACTAGGGATTTGAGGAAACAAATATATTTAACCTGAATATTAGAGTATTAAATTAATAAATATATGTGACAAGGCATGTCTTCGATCCCATGAAGTGGGAAGGGAGCTTGACACTTTGTCTGTGTTGAGTTTTCTATGAGGTGAAACTCCTTTATATGTAACTTTGGTTTGATGAGGAGCTGTAGATAGTGAGTATGCAAAATTTGTTGTGCTAAATGCTTAAAACATGAAGTGTAAATGTAGGTTTTTGCACTCCGAGATGCTGGTGATTTAGCAGAAAATGCAACAGCCTTTGTGAGCTTGGAGCCATGTAATCATTATGGAAGAACTCCACCTTGCACTGAGGCATTAATCAAGGCCAAAGTGAAAAAGGTGGTTGTCGGGATGGTGGATCCAAATCCTATTGTAGCTTCAACTGGTGTAAGTAGATTAAGAGATGCAGGAATTGAAGTGATCACAGGTGTTGAAGAAGAACTCTGCAGGAAGCTTAATGAAGCTTATATACATCAAATGTTGACCGGAAAGCCATTTGTCACACTCAGGTATAAATTTGATCTTTCCACAATTATTGCAAATTGTGACACCATGATTCACGATCACATCATTCAGTGTGTGTATATCAGTTTCTCAATTACCCAATAATTAATCTGTAACAACAGGTACTCTCTCTCAGTTGATGGTGATCTCTTGGATCAGCTGGGTGCAGAAGTCACGGAGTCTGGTGGATACTATTCAAAATTGTTACAAGAATATGATGCAGTTGTTGTTTCTTCCTTCTTGCTGTCAACAAAGCATTCTGTTCTTTCATCTAAAGAACCAGGAGCAAAGCAACCTCTTCAGATAGTATTAGCAAAAAGTTCAGGTTCACTACAACTCCCTGCCGTTACAGCGATATCATCTAAAACTATAATCTTTAGTGATGAGGAGATTGTTGTGGAGCTTGAAGCAAGTCAAAGAGGGATAGAGACAGTAGTTTTGGATAGGATGAATTTAACAGCTATCCTTGAACATTGCAAGCGTCAAGGACTGTGCAGTGTGATGCTGGATTTGAGAGGAAACTCTGCAGAATTTGAGGAAATCCTGCAAGAGGGTTTTGAACAAAATTTGTTTCAGAAGGTTATTGTGGAAGTGTTGCCAATTTTGGGTGCAGGTTATAAAGAGGCTTTCAAATATATGCAGCAAAACCGAAGGCTGAAGAATTTAACATCGAGGACCTTAGGCGAAAGTATTCTTCTGGAAGGATATTTCTAAGTGGATGGACGATTTTATAATGATGGTGATCATACAAGGTTATCTTCCGCTTATCACTGAAAGCTGCAACAAGTCTACAAGCATATCAAAGTTACATTCCTTCCTCTAAAAGAGGGAACTTGATTTCTGAACCAGTGCTACTTTATTCATGTCACTTCAAACTATACTGAAAGGTCCATGGTGAGATCAAGCTTCTCTTGTTAACGTTGTAGAACTGACTATGCTTTGTACTAGAGTCTTTAGACCATTCAAGTTTTTGCTAGAAAATGTTTAAGACAAACATATAATGTTGCTTTCCGTTTGTTGCATTTCAATTGACAATAAAGATGTCTGCATTTTGATCTTTACTTTCGTTTGATCATGTGATAAACTTGTTAACTGCTAATTCAGTACTTTAACTAAGGTGTCACAAATAGTGGATCCAAGCACCATTTTCAATGAGAACAGCTCACTTTGGAATACTACAAGGATGTTTTTTGTTCATAAGTTTATTTAAAGGAAGCAGTGCGTACACAACAGGGACTAATCTTCATTGATACACTAAAGACTTGTCTTCTATTTCTGTTAGTTCATATTCATGAAAGAGGACATAATGGTGATGTGCCCAGAATGCCCATGATATGCAAACTGCTGCTGTTTTGCTTTCAAATATAGCATCGTGGCTTTGAAGATGCTATTAAGTTTGTAAATTTTGCTAGAACATGTGCATAATTAATTGTCTTTTACTAATATACATTATCATTTTTTTCTCATGTTTTATTCTTTCATCCTTACCTCTTGAACCAGGTAACCTAACATGGTTATGGGCTGTACAAGTCACAACAAAGGTTAGTCTGTTTAGTTCTTCCATCATATCTTCTGTAGATAATTTTAATCTGTATAAGCATGCCAAGAGATGAGTTCATTCAAACAGTGTTTGATTCATACGACTAAATTGAATACATATTGCGCAAGATTTATTAAAAAGAAAAATAGGTTATTTTGCACATTCAGCAACCGAAAAAAAGTTATGATCAGCTAAAGATCTTATTTAATAAGCACGCACAATTTGAGAAAGAAAAATAATATGGCACATAGTACTTGATCATAACTAATAATTTGTAACGATCTTTTATGAACAATTTGTAACTTTATCAAATTAATAAGTAGCTAACTATATCACAAAGTGATATTCATCAAGATTGATACCAACATCATCATTCTTTGATGTTATTCATTCTCTTCTGAATTCATACATTCATCCTCCAATGCAGCAAGAAAATCAACCCCAACATCCTCTATATTATCATCTTCTAATTCTTCCATAACCGAATCGATTAATTCATTAATTTCAACCTAATTCATAGTATTCTCATTTTTTTTCTTACCATCATCACGTGCTTGTTTCTTCTTCTTAATCTTAAAAATTATAAAATCCTTATATATAATTTTCTTCTTAATATTGGTAACATAACCATCATATAAAGAGTACTCTGTCATCAACCACTCGCCGAATAACTCCTTGATTATTATTGACTTTTTGTTAGTGCGGGGAGCGTACTTCATATGGTGGACGTACCCCATAAGTCTACCTTTTTCATCAAACACTTTCTTCGTTGGGTCTTGTATCTTCCATGTGCCCTCCCCAACAATTCACCTAAATCTTTTATGATGTGCCGACTTCTCTTTCTTCAACGGTGTAATGAAGTAACCTGCGTTGGTGTTAGTGCCCTCAAGAAACTCCCATGGCTCCTTGTCCGCGTAAAGAACAACTAGCTGCATGTATTGATGTTGCTCAAGAAGTGGCTCGTCTATCGCAAACACTAGTAAATACTTGATAACATCCCTCTCCTTCGGGTAAAAAGAATAGTTTGAATGTTTTAGGTTGATGATCACGAGCAACCATTATACTTTAGTGATGAATATTAAACAAATTAACAGTAGTGGATGAAACAAGCTAAAAGAATAGTAAAAATTAGGCAAATCACATCGTATAAGAAGGAAATTACTTTCTATCCCTACTCTTTCATTAATTACCAAAAATCCCTTTTTTAGTGTCTTTCGGATACATAATATAGCAATGTGGATACTTTAATTAATAAAGGGCGGATACTTAAATTATTAAGTTGTTGGCACGGATACTTTAATTAATAACGGGCAGATACTTAAATTAACGGGCGGATGCATAATATAGCAGCGCGGATACTTTAATTAATAACGGGCGGATACTTAAACTAATAAAGTATCCGGTTAAGTTGAATTGGGGGAAAATAAGGAATTTTTGTATTTTAGTAAAAGAGTAGGGAAATATTGAGAATAGGTAAAGTAATGTTGTGTACTTAAGTAATTTGTCCAAAAGAATATCCCTAAAACCCTAGTAATTAAGACAATATGATCGATAAAAGAGGTTGATATTATAATGGTATAATGACTTTAATTAGCCCAAATATATAGTTATAATCCTAATTTGTATCCTGCTTGGAAATGAACTTATTAAGATTATCAATTTGGTAACTTAAAAGTAGTCGTTTCATATTTTGATCAGGAAAAGCTCCTCCAAAGCTTGCGGTAGAGATTTTGATTTTTTTTTTCTTTTCCCTAAGAAAAAATAGTTACTTTATTTCTTTTTCAAAAAGAAATAAAAGATTTATTTATTTTTTCCGTTTCATATTTTGATTTGGAAAAAGGATAATCACTCAGAAGTTTCCTATTTTTCCCATTTCATATTTCAAATTACGATATTTTTCTTCAAAACCTAACTTCCTAACAATATAAGTGAAGAGACTTGTCACGAGATTATCTTTTTATCTTTTCTTGTTTGATTTTTCTCTTATCATGACTACTCTTGTTGCTTCTTTCTTAGCAGATCTTGACGAATTGTCCGATAACGAGTAGACTCGAATCTCGATCATGGATAGAGGAAGATGATGGAGAATTGGATGAGCTAGATAATGTTTCCAAACTGCAAAAATCAAATTGATAATTTTAATTTCACTTATTATTATATTGAAGATGGTAAGAAAAGAAGTAGAAGAAAAAAAACTTGCATTCAAAAAGAGAAAATAAAAACTATTCTACTTTTTTTAAAATAAAAAATACTTTAGAACTTTGAATTAAATAATTTAAACTTCATATATTAATAAATAAAAAATTTACAACACCATCCAAGACAATGTATTCTAGACATATTAGTAACATCTTGTTAACTAGAATTAATTCTTATTTTTATAAATAAATAATAATAATTTTACTATCTGAAGGTAAATGATTTACATCTTTTAACAATATTAAACTAAAAACAAGTATATGCCAATAAATCCCGTTATTTATCTATCCCACGTCGCCCCAGTTGTTGTTGTAAATAGGGTTAAGGTAGGGATTAATCGTACGGAATGGACAAGTGAAAAAAACACTTAATCAGTAACTTGAAAGAATGTCCCTAAAACTCTAGCAATTAATTAAGTTGTATAGATAAAAAAAAAGTTGATACTATAATGGTATAATGACTTTTAAGCGCAAATATATAGTCATAATCCTAATATCCTGCTTGGAAATGGAGTATGAAGCTTGCCAATTTGGTAATTCAGAGAGATTTTGGATTTTTTCTTTTCCCTTTTACGTAAGAAAAATAGTTTTTCTTTTTTGAAACAAAAAATGATTTGTATACCAAATTTCCATATATAGCAAAGTGGTTTTGTATAATCCAAAACTTACCTAATTAGCTCACTCATCTAAATTATTCAAATTAAAAAAATAAAAACAGAACCATTTTATTAATTTGAAGAATTACATATTAAATAGAGTTAAGTATCATTTTATTTTTATAATTGAACAACAACCGAACTTTTCGGCTAAAAGCAGAACAAATATTAAGTTTACCACTTTGGTAACTCAAAAGTAGCGGGAGAGATATTTTGAATATTTTTCTTTTCAATTTTATGCAAGATAAATAGTTTTTGTTTCCGAAAAAGAAAAGTATTTTGATTAGGAAAAGGATAAAGAGTTGGCTCCTGCGAAGCAGCCAAAGCCTCTTGGTAGGAAGAAAAAGATTAATAAGAATTAAGATCAATCTCCTTTAGTAAATAAAAACCAAAAGAACACATAAGTAAATGATGGATACAAAGAGGCAAGTGAATCAACACCTACTACTCTGGACATGGTGCTTTTATCGGGTCAGTCTTGCTCCGAAAAGACCCACAGAAAAAGTTCGATTTGTATGTATTACAAAGGGTTTTTGCTAAAACGCTTTCTGAACTACGATTATAACTAGAAACGTCTAATGTCTTTTGGAGGCTTAAAGTGAAGAGGATGAGTTTCTGGGGTGGCAGTTTCATCTTCTTTCCACATCTTTATGGTCTTATCAGCTTCACAGCTGATCAGCCTTGAGCCGGTTGCGTCGTAGGTGAGGGCATAAATGCCGGCCTCACTGTCCAGTGACCCTGAAACATAGTAAGGCCTAGAATAAACCTTTTGCTCCTGGTGATAAAGTCAACAATAAAAGTAAACATCAACTTATCAACACACATACCAGGTTGAACAATAGTTTGAGATTGCTGGAAATTGTGACCACTTTTCCAATCCCAAAACCACATGCTTCCATTGTCACCTACACAAGGAGATGCACAATACATCATTGACCTCCAGCTTAAGAACCAGAAGAGGAAAGTGGCGAGGAGTGGAGAAGAGGCGGAACAAAAAATGAGTGGAATGGGTGAATGGGGTGGTGACATTAACTACTTCTCACCTCCAGTGACCATTACACCTTCATCATTAACTGCCATCGCGTTGACTATGGTTTTCTGTTGGGAACTGGGAAAAAATGGACATTACTTTAGATTCAAATTTACTAAGAAAAAGGTATACTGAATATGATATATACTAAGATGTAGATGTCAAGGTTTTATGGCATATCATGAGACTTACAGCATGTTGTGCATAAATTCTCCTTTTGGAAGACTGAATTTTTTTATGTTGTCTGCTGATGCAGAAGCAAAACAATCCCTGCAAGAAAATGAAAATAACAATTAATAGTGTACTCTGAGGAGAAGTTAGGGAATCAGGAAAATAGTAGGGCATCTGTTGTGTAAACATACTCCGTAGGATGCTGAGCCATAGCTCGAACAGATTTCTTGTGATGTGTGAGAGTTGCCATTGTCTTACCTGCCAGGCAAGGAAAATTAATAATCATAGGAAATTAGAAACTGGAACCATCATAATAATAAACACATATAGTCCAGTAAAGAAATCCTAGTTACCATATCTAAGGTCCCAGAACTTAATGGTACTGTCATGAGAGCCAGTTATAACCTGTGGATCCTGAAACAAAACTCCCCATCATGAAATCTGATTGTTAACTTTAGGCAACAAT